ATATATATATATATATATATATATATATATATATATATATATATATATATATATATATATATATATATATATATATAACATTTATTAAACTCACATGAAGTTTTAAATAATTTCAAGGAGTTATTTTAGTTTCCTTATAACAGTTTTCTTTGGCGATAATGTAGTATTCTCACTTACGAACGAATGCTTGCTTTTTATATAGCAAACCAATAATGACTGTATAATATCTGATTAAAATGTTGCACCTGTTTATTTTATATATTTACACAAAAATCATGTTTACATTTTTCAGTCATTTTTAAATCTCACGTTTCTTGGACATAGTTTCTCGAAAAGAAATTATACTTAAATTTTGTGTGAAGATATAGTTACGGAGATATATGATACATAGCACATTAAAAAGATAAAAGTTTATTTAAAGAAAAAAAATTTTTAAATGTAACGTTTCCTAGTCATATGAATATTATGAATTCACATTAATATGAATATTAATGTGAAAATAAATCTATGAAAAAGGAAACTTCCACACTTTGTATAGAGCACATTAAGCATGTCGAGCATATCGAGCATTAAGCTTATTTCAGCTTGTAAAGAATTATGTTTACATAAATAAAAAAAAAATTTATTATACATAAAGATTATTTATTATATGTAGAGCATTTGCACCATAGCTATCTGCATTTGTACATACAATGTATGATTTTTTTTGTATAGTTATCCCACCTATGGGAAGGATGACTGGTGAGTCCCTGTAAAATGTACTATAGTCGCGTAGACTGTCATAAGACGTAAGATTAGCATGCACAACTTTAATATTTATATCAATCCAATTTATATATAAATAAAAATCTAATATTAATTTAGTATTAATATTTATATCTTCCCTATAATTCTTTTTAAAGCTTGTTTTCGTATACAAATAATATACTTATTCATATAAAATAGTCTTAAAATTTGTAACTTGTGATAATATAACTTAAGATTAATATTACACTATAGTATACTATATAATGTACTTATCTTTTATCACATAATGAGTTGATATACTTGAGAGTTTATTACATTTATCAATAATCCAATGTTGTCAGTACAAATTGAGCAATCTTTGCACTCAGATTCTCATTTGAGAATATTAATAAGTTGTATGTTTTTACTTATAAATTCAATTATTTTAATTTAAATATGTGGCTTGCAATATGCACAACCATAAATGTTGTACAGATATGTTCTTTAATTACGTCTTTGTATAAATTGTATATTGTTTTTGATGTTGCAATGTATTGCACAAGTAATTCATTAATTTAAGTAACATATGTAATACAAATAACAGACATTGCTATTCTCATTGCTAAAGATATTCAAAATTTTAACAGACGATGGAATGAATAAATGATATAATACAAAATTATTATTGATTATTTTACGAGAGGTACTCAAAATTACAAGAATTTTTATAAATTTCAGGGTGACTACTACATATAATACAACGCCTACATTAGGTGTACCTAATGCAGTTACGGCAAGTACATATCCACAGATGATTGGTTTAAGTGAACAAGTTCAAGCTTTGATGCCAGTGCCATCAGCATCAAATTTATTACACCAGCAGCAGAGGCATACACCTGTGCATAGCACATCTCTTAACAAATTTCCACCTCCACTGATACCAGTTAATGGTAACAATGGTAGCTCCAGGTATATATAATGAATTTATTTTTTTATAGATTGATTGACTCTTTTATAGAAAGTTAAATTAATGAGAATTATAAAATTTACAAATATTTTTTTTTTTTTTTTTTTAGTAATTTTTGTTTTATTTACTAATTATTGTTTTTACGTTTAAGTTATTTTTTAGGGATTCCAGGGGGAGAAAACCATTAATACTAATATCAGAGTCGCATATATCCACCTGTCATGTACAACCATACCAGATACAGAAAGCACTTGTCGAAGAAAAAATGGTTCCCTGCATTAACTTCAAACCTTACATCTACACCGAGTTGTTGATGACACTTCCTGATTTTATCTCTCAATATTTTCCTGCCTGTGACATTAATAGTTGTAGACAAGTTCTCACAGATGTCCTACATATAGATTTATATCAAGGAAATAGGTAAATAGTATACAGTTTTTCCCGTGAATAGATATTTACTTTAATGACAGCGAAAATATTATTTGTATTTTATAGACTGCAAATGAAGATGTTGATGGAAGCAGGCAAGTGTTCTTCGCTAACCGAAGAACTACCTTTAATACAAATTAGGAGTGTCATGAAATATATGCCACAGTTCAAGTATATGTTCAACAGAGGAGATATGGTCATGCCTGTGCCGGCACACTCATCTGAAGAGCATGCTGCCAAAAAGCGTCAACGTACCAGCTAGGATTGGCTACAGCCTTACTGGCCTACTTACGATTACTACCATTCGGCATTCTAAAGAAGTAGATCCGATTCGCGCACTGTAATATCAATTTGCGCTTTAATGATGTCCTCGAGATTGGCAGGATATTTGGATAAAGATAAAATCTCGTGTTTGACATACACGACCAAGTGCACACAAGTAAAAATTCACGTTTGTGTACAGTGACGAGTGTAAGCTATTTCTTTCTCCAAAGTGCATCTACTCTACAGAGGGTAACTGTAAATAAAATTCGAGTGTATAAATTTAGAATATTACAGTTGACAATTCAGATCTGCTTTATACAGAATGATCTACTTCATTTCATGACACCTGTTACGATGTAGTGAATGCTACATTGTTACAGGAGACAAGTAGATCCAAGACAAAACATTCTTATTTTCAAACCAGATATATCCATTCCACACATATAAACATATACATACATGCAAACAAAAACGTGCGTGCGTGCGGTGCGCCCGCGCGCTCGCATAAATGATACACGTTACTTTATTTCTACCTCTTTGCAATAGTGAATACTATTCTTTCAAATTTTATATTCCACGATGTTCTCGTTAAATATTAATATATTATGTATATGGAATAAAAGTTTTGTTCGAGAAAGTAAAATTTCGGAGAAAGAAAATGCTATATGTATTCAATTTATAGATTGACACGACGTGCTATAGAGTTATTCAGAACGAATAACCTATTTTGCATATTGAATGTAACAATACAATGTATCAATACAAAAGCGAAACAAGGAAGTAACGTGAAAAATGAAGGTAAAGCTTCTTCAAGTTCCTAGCTATTACTAGTACGTATTCTGATAACTAGCCGCATATTAATTTAAAAAAGTGTTTAAATCAGTAATTCAGTGATAATTGATGATTTATGCAATAAGTTGATGTGTGAGTTTTTATACAATTTTCATAAAATTTATTATTTAATAAAATCGTTATGTCACGTATAATATTAAACAGTTTCCGTCTTAATCGTTTAACAAATGCACTGTGTATAAAAGTGTGATGGACGTATCAAATCGAATAATATGTGAAACAAATGCCTATCCATTGTGAAGAGATTGCAGTAAGCAATATCCTATCATACGGACTATACGGAGATTACATTTATACTGTGTACACTATACATATAATTATTTCATATAAAATCTGATATTTTCACACAGTTGGCAAAAAAATAACAAAGATAGAGTTGACATCATTTCATACGTTTGCATTTTAATTTACGATTAGTGCATTTACGAGTAATATTTTGCGATGTTGCTGCTGCATCTTCCTAATAATCACACCGCAGACTTTTGTTTCAAAACGACTTACGGCGGCTTTCTGAAATTTTGTTAAAGCGGCATTTCTTGTTTATATTTAATAAGTTTTACACGCTCGTTGAGAATCAGTATCTTATGATGGGGTTGACGTGAACATTTCAACAAATCGAATGAGAGAGATGCATGGCTGAAAGGCACATAATAAAAATGAAAGATGAAACCAAAAATAGTACGCATTGTAAATTTAAAAGTTACGTTAAATGTGGATGTTATACGCATCGCGAATAAAGCGATAGCAATACTTGGTAGAGGTTTTGATTAAACGAATGTAGCTTGTGTCCCAGAAACTGTCGTGGTTCTTCTCAAAGCACCGAATTTAGATGTGTATTATAACTATTTTACGTCTACCCCTTTCATAAATACGTTAAATTTTCATGTATTTGGAAGTGTCCAAGGTACAACATATGTAGAGAAGACTATCAAATTATAATTACATGTGTGTGATACAACAAGAAAGTGCGACGATGTTTAAACAATGAACAAATTTTTATTGAATTTCGAAGCCACATAGAACTGGTCTTCCACATGTTGATCTGAAAATATGTCAGGAATTGAGTTTTGTTTATTTTGCAATAAATTATTTCAAGACGTCGACATGCTTGCAATATATGTCGCCGATAAATGTCATTTATTTCTGTTCACATTAATAAATCGGTGGATGCGATAGCTCTCATCGTTTTGAGCGACAGATAAGATACTATTTTAATTCTTCTCGATGTGGGAAGTGGACAGACAGAGAAGTAAATAATTATTATCGACCGGCTACTTTCGTCACTCTCTAACTTTAGCGTAAGAAAACTCTGAAAAAAGTATGCATGGCAAACAAGTGTATATAAAGAAATAATTATAACGACTGATTCACGTTGGGAATCGTGAATCTTCCACGCAAGACATAAATTGTTTGGATATCCTATCGTAGCGAATACGGTGTATTTCTGAGTAATATCGATGAGTAATATTTTGTCGTATTACAATTCGAAGCTCTTGCATTACTCTATTCGAAGATTCTACAATGGACTGGTAATCTATTTTCTTTTACTTTCACGAATAATTCAGGGAATCTTAGAAGAAATTCGATAAGAATATAAAAAGAGGAATATAATGAAATAATTTATAGTTATTCGGATCCGGTCCAAACGTTAGAAAATATAATTATTTTTAATATATTAGATTAGTATGTTTATTTGTTAACATCTGTTATAAAATAATATGTATTATACTTTATCACGCTATCGTTTGTACATATTTAAAGTATAAGAAATAGGAATATTGCATATTCCAAATAAATTCATGATACAATCAATGAAATCTAGTTGTATTTTTTACCGTCAAACATATATACATATCTGCGTATAACATATTTTAAATACAGTGTGTTTTTATGATATATTGCACTTTTTTATAGTATATTAAAAGATCATTTTTCTTAACTACTAAAAATAGGCAAGATTTAATGGACTGTAACTATGGAAAAAATTATTGAAAATGAGACGGTTCGGAAAGTATTTTGTAACTTCATGTCTCTAGTGTTTCCACATATATCTTCGAAAATAAAAAATTTTTACAATATTATAGAAAAATAAGTTATGTATGTAGTGTGTATATGTATATGTGATCTATCAAATGACAAAATTTGTTATAAAGTTTTTATTCAGTTATACCATGTAAACGGATAATTACAAATAAGTTAGAAGACGTGAATTTTCTTTCTTAATTTATGTTCCTGTAGATTGTAGAATAATCTTTTTATTAGAGTTATTTCACGGTAAAGTAAAAAACATTTTTCCACTTTGATTGCTTAAAGCTTAAAGCTACCTTTTTGAAGTGCATGCGTCATATCTTCAATAAAAATAACTTTGCAATGCTAAGGTAAGAGAAAGATACAGTTAAAAATCATTCATATATTTACCACAACTAGATATATTTTAGCAAGAACTCTGATATGCCTGTAGACTTTAAGTAGACTTTAAGCTTTAAAACGCTTTTCGAGCAATATCGTTATCATTATTTTTACAGAAGTCATAGTTGGTTGAATTTTATCTATGTTTTAAATAAGGCAAAGTGCGATTAATCATTCGTTGTGTTATACTACATGAGAGTCTGACTTATATTGAGTTGTATTACGTCCTCAATTTCTTACGCTAGCGACTAGTAGCGGAGACTTTGGAATTAAAACTGTAACAGCGCACCCAAGACTTGAACCTTTTCCAACCGACGTTTATCGACTACTTGGATGGGACCATGGACATAGGAATACCTGGACGGAAGTATTTCGCGCGGAGTGAAGTCACAGGGGTAAGAGGAATGAAAGTCGGAAGTGATCACCAAATATGGCGGCGACCTATACCATCGACGAGGTACTATAAAAGACCGTTGACCTTACGGGCTCTAGCGATCCCGAAAAATCTGACCGTACATTTCTATATTTCACCTTTTTCTTATATCCTATATTCTTACTGTTATCCTATTTACATCGTCTTGTCTTTTTCTACGTCTATCAATACGATTTTTTTCTACGTCTGTCAATACGATTTCGGCACAATGCTCCGTCCAGTATTATATGACGATAGTGTACTCTTACGAAAAAAATACGAAAAAACCCTCAATTTTGGGTGTAAACACTAAAAAACTGGGGATAAACACCTAAATTTGAATGTTAACACCCAAAATTGACAGTCTTTAGTATAAGGTGTAGTAAAAAGAAATCCATTATTTTTGCATGAAATTGAAGGCTTTATTTAGCATAGTTAGAATGATCCGATTTAGGTCAAATATGCACCGTTTTGTTCGATAACTTGTTGCCATTTTGAAGGTAATTCCATTATGCCTCTCTCATAGAAACCCTTGTCCCTATTGGCAAAAAACTGGGACAGTCGATTTTCACAAGCTTCTCTTGAGGCGAATTTTTCACCAGCAAAATCATTCGCTATAGACAGGAACAAGTGGTAATCACTTGGTGCCAGGTCCGGACTACAAGGTGGATGCATAAGAACCTTCCAACCAAGCTCCCGGAGCTTCTGACGAGTCACTATCGACGTGTGTGGCCTGGCGTTGTCCTGATGGAACACAATTCCTCTCCTATTGGCCAAAGTTGGCCGCTTTTGGGCGATTGATTCCTTCAGACGGTCCAATTGTTGATA